AGCGAGGTCGCAGGGGGACCGCGGGCGACCCGGACGCCGGTTCCCAGCGCGCCCCTCTGGCGCCGCGCTGACTCTGGTCACCCTGCGGACCCCCGGCCCCGCCGGTCCCTGAGCGCCTAGGACCGCGTAGCGCCAAGCTGGGGACCGCAGGGGTTCTGCCTGCGGGCAGGCGCTGCGACTCGCCCCCTTTACAGTCACGACCTCTGGGCTGGGAACCCGGTGGATGGCGGAGGACTCCCTGAACCGAGCCGCCCCCGACGCCACCGCCACGCAGGCCCACGGGCCGTCGGCTCCATCTCGGTCCCCCGCGGTTCCCACGCGAGCTGCGAAGCTGGAGTCGTGTCTCGAGTGTTGACCGGAGCTGCGCGGTCCCGCCAGGGCCGCTGGTGAAAGGCAGTCAGCCCCGGGCGGGCAGGACAGAGAGGGAGGCCTGCGCAAGGTCTTCTGAGCTTTGCAGCAGGGTGAGCTTTGCAGCGGGGTGAGCTTTGCAGCAGGGTGAGCTTTGCAGCGGGGTGAGCTTTGCAGCGGGGTGAGCTGTGCAGCGGGGTGAGCTTTGCAGTGGAGTGAGCTTTGGAGCCGGACACGCCACTCGCCGGTCTCACGTTCAGCTGCGAAGTGAATGCTCCCCTCCCCCTCGGAAGCACCCTTGGGAAGGCCACTGCGGAGTAACTTGGGATGAAGGGTATTATTGTGTCTTTCCAGTAGTGTCCTATCTCCAAGGGTGGAGGACCGCCAGGTCAAGGTCGAGGTCAAGACCTCTCTGGCTTGGAACTAGCTGGCGGCGAGATGGCCAAAGGCACCAAGAAGGTGGGGCTCGTGGGCAAATAGGGAACCCGTGACGGTGCCTCCCTCAGGGAAAAGGTGAAGAAAATTGAAATCAGTCAGCATGCCAAGTACGCTGGCTCCTTCCGCGGCAAAACCAACATGAAGAGGCGCGCTGGGAACATCTGGTGCGGTGGTCCCTGCATGAAAACAGGAGTTGGGGGCGCCTGGACCTACAGTACTCCTCTGCTGTCCCAGGAAAGTCCGCCGCCAGAAGACTGAAGGGGTTGACAGACCAGTAGAAGCTCCACTATGTGAAACCTCTCTGGCCTGTAATAAATGGGTTGATTTTTTTTTTTAAGAAAAGAAAGGGTCAAGAACCTTCCCCCCTCCAGCCCCCCACCCCCCCTCCAGCTCCGGAGACTGAGGAGAAGGGTGAAGTTGGTGGCTATTCACTATAGTCACTTGGCTTAGGCAAAGGGCAAGTGGCTGGGACCTAACGCAGTTGAGGCCATGGTCCAGTTCCAGAGGACCCTAAGGCGCTACAGCCGCTCTGAGCCGAAATGTCTCCATCGGGCTGTTTTGAGTTGAGGCTGGGCGGGGCCTGGTTTGGGTCCCCAGTGCTGGCTCCGCTGTGGTGGGGCGGTGCTGGTTTGGCCCCCGCATCTGCTCTCCGAGGGGCCTTTGCTGTCCCATAGCAGAGAGCCTGAGGCTGGAGGTCCTGGGTCACCTGGGGTCTGTCTGGCCCCTAGCTTTCTTGAGCCTGCATCCTTGGCCCAAGAGCAGTTGTGAAACAGGAGCGAAGACAGGCTTCCACCCCTCGGTGTTTAAAAACACGACAGTCAGACTATCTGGGTTCTTAACGTTTGGTCACCAAGTCCCTCCGGAAGGAGTGAGGATTTCGGCCCTCTTCCTGGGGAAAGGGGTCCGTCCCCGCGCGTTTTTAACCCCTCACAGATGTGTTGTTTCCCTCCAAAGGTCCTTCAGGTGTCTCTGAGCCAATGCGAGCTGGGCTCCCCAACTCCCGCCAGCCCCCCCGCACCCCCTCTGAGCTTCGGGACACTTCCTTGGTCGCCTTTCCGAGGCCCCAGAGCTGCTGCTTCAGCTGACGCCTGGGGGACGCTCTTTCCAGCCTCTGCTTCCAGGAGAGGCTATGTCCTGGTCCCCCCGCTTCCCCAGCCCCCAACCCCCAAGGGGACGGCCGGGCTTTCAGAGCCCCCTCTCCTCGGCCTCCCCCCACCCCCTCGCCCTTCTTGTCCCACCAGTTTCCAAAGTGCGGAGGATGTTTACCCTCCGAAAAGAGGCCGAGATGGCGCGAGGTCAGGGGTCCGATTCACGGCTGCTGCGAGGCGCCGAGCCCGCCCGCCGCCGACGGGGAGGAAATCTGGACTTGGCAATCCCCTCGCCCGACCAATAAACGCCTCCGCGACTCCGGCCTGGCTGCTAGGCCCCCGGCCCGGGCCCCCCGGCCCGCCCTCGGACCCGCCGGCCAGGCCGGAGGTGGAGGTCGCGGACTGCGGCGGGGCATCTCCACCACTCGCTTCCCCCTATCTGGGGCTCTGGCGCCTCACCTCTTGCTTAGGGGAGGAGGCGGCGGTGATCAAGGAACCCCGAACTTGCCCTCTTCTACCAGCCAGGGGTTGGAGTTTCTGGGGCTTGAGGAAGTGAACCCCAGGATAAGAGGAGAGGCGGGGAGGGGGAAGGGGATAGCAGTGTCCCCATATTCTACCCTTGTTTCCAAAGAGCCCCTTTCTCACCTTAGCACCCAAGAGGGTTAATAGTTCAGCGGCTACCCGTCTTCCTTGCACGTGGGGCTCTGAAGAGCCCGGCCCCTTTGTCCCTCTGGGTGGGAACTGCAGGGCAGGCCAGCCCTACTGGTGCAGCTCCAACCCTGAACGCAATACCTGCCCCACCAAGTCTGACCGCCCCGCCTGACCCGTCGCACTGATAAGCCCCCAGACAGCCAAACATCGTTAACTTCTTTGCTTTTCTAAGTTTGCAAGCCTGTCCTTTCCCCGACCCAAGCTGGGGGTGTGCCCACATTTCCCCGCGGAGCTGGGCTCAGCCACTCCACACTGGCCTTCTGCTTCCGGGCCCCAATCCTCCCTTCCCGAGCGGGAAACCAGCTCTGTGTGACCGACATCCTGGTGGTCTCACTCCACCTCAGCTCACTTTACCCAGTAGACACCAGCTCGGAGAAACTCCGGGGAAACAGTAAACTCCCAGAGATAAGAGAAAGTTAATGGCAGAAAATGGTTAAGTGCGTTCAGAAATTGAAGTTAAAAATGCCTCTGACCTCAATCCTATGGGAAGGGGATCGAATTGGCTTTGTGGAATAAGCATCTAACTGGCTTTGGCCTTTCCTCTTTCCCTTTGCTCCTGGAAACTTGTTCATAGACAGCATCAGAATGGCAGGCAACAGTCTCTACATTGAAATGACCAGTGGTGGGAAACATCCAGCTTGTCTCCTCCCCCCACCCAATATGGAGTTTGGACAAAACCACTGTGAATCAGCCCCCTTACCCCCACCCCAGATCATCTGACCAGGGTAGAGGGTGCTGCCATGACAACTCCAGTGGCTTCTTCCCACAGTGGTCTCCTTCAGGTGCCCCCACAGCTGTTAGTGCTGGTCTGACTCACACCTGTCCCCAACTCCCTTCTTCATTCCTTCTCCCTCAAGAGGGGACTTTCTGGAGCGCCCCCTGGAAGCTCCTTTGGTCCTGAGAAACAGCTTGGTGAGGCAGTTGGAAAGGGCAATCCAAGGATAAACTCCTAAACTCAAACGTGGGATTTAGTAATTCAGACAAATCATTTCTAATTTGAATAAATCAGATCCCTTTTGGGTAAATACATTTTCCCATCTGATAAAGAACTCAAGAAGTTCTATGTGGTTTGGTGAGAAATCAACTAAGAAAGCTCATCAGACTTCTCCTGGGATGGTCTTTTAACAAAAAAGAAATCTTAACAAGGCATTGCTGGAATATATCTTTTAAATAACATTTTCATTGTAAATCAGATAATGGTTGCCATGTAAAATCATCAGCTTTATATTTAACACTTTAAACCACCAACCAAGCCGCCTCCTCAATAGTTTACCCTTCACCACCTCCTGGCTTTCTCTTCCACTTCATCCAAGTGCACACCAGTCAACCATGTAGTCCAGGCTTGGATATATTTTCTGTAAACTTTAGAATTAAATTAATCTAATATCCATCTCGCTGCCAACAATTCAGAAGGGGTAAAAATAACAAAACCTTGGAAAAGTCTACTTGGTGTTCAGAGTCAAACACTGGCCATGAGACTTGTAGCTCAGACTGAAATCTCCCACGTGGAGATGTTAGTTCTCCTGTGTCTGGCACCTCCCTCAGGCACTAAGTGCTCAGTGAATGCTAGCAGTCAAGTCATCTCTAGGCTCAAGTAGACCCAGCTCCTGAGCATGCACGTCTGTAAGGCCAGAGTCCTTCTAAAGACCTACCTCTAGTTTTGCCTTGTTCCTCGTCTGCGTTTTATATAAGATGCAAACCATTTTGCATTAAAAAAAATATATTGAAAGTGCAGCCATTCAGGCTGAGGTATAAACCTTCAACAAAGTGCGGGCTAAGGATGCCTTGCCCAGTGAGGGGGAAATCTGTTTCCTTTACAAAGAAAATCAGGTAAGAAAGCCCACCGGAGCTCTCTTGCGATGGGGTCTTTAGACAAAAAAGAAATAGATCTAAAAAGTCATTATTTGAATAATTTAAAACTTGGGTTTCCAAGAGTAACTATTTTTGTGGTTTGGTTTTAGTTTCAATTCAATAGTCTGATCACATCAAGAAGACTTGTATAATCATTACCACAATCAAGTTTAGAACATTTTCTTCTTTCTTAGACTCCTTGTTATTAGCTCCCCATTTTCCCACGCTTTCCCCTTACCATACCCCCAAGAAATCAATAATTCAGTTACTGACTCTATAAATTCACCCATTCTGGATTTCAAGTATTGAAAAACATACAAAAACAAACTGACAAAATAATAATAATTTATAAATTATCAAGGGTTCGTGGGGGAGGGGAGAGTGGGGAGGGAAGGAAAAATGAGGAGCTGATACCAAGGGCTCAAGTAGAAAGCAAATGTTTTGAGAATGACCGCAACAAATGTATAAAAGTGCTTGACATAATGGATGTATTTGTGGATTGTGCTAAGAGTTGTACAAGCCCCCAATAAAATGATTTAATTATTAAAAAACAAAAACAAACTTAACAGTTACAAAATAAAACAGAGGAAAAAACTCAATGGAAAAGAAAGCAGAAAATATTTAAAAACTAGAGCAACTTTAAAATGGGTCAAAATGGAGATGAAATAGTTAGGAGTTAAACTTTGAACTAATTACTTCTGCCATCATCCACTTTCTAATACACTCTGCATGATAGCAAGGCTTTTCCTATCCCTGGTCTGTGTTCAGAGGGAATTCACTGGAGGCTTGATCCAAGTGTATTTCCCCTTCACTTTTTAAACCGATACAACTCTTCAATAGGTCAAAAGGGGGAAATGAATAAGATGGTATGAGACTAACTCTTTAAGGGGTAAAGAGCCTCTGAGTATCTTCTAGGGAT